CCGGACAAGGCCCTGGGAAGGTCAAAGGCGGCCACTCTGAGGGCATCCAAGCAGGGGGTGGGGACGAGCCAGCACACGCCACAGGCGGCAGAGCTGCCCGGATCCTCTGCTGGCCTGCCCTCCTCTCAACCAGAGACAGGCAGAGTGAAGGGAAGGCAGAGCCCTCACCCCTGCAGCTGGCTTCTCACCAGCTCCCAGCCCAGGACCATCTGCACAGCCCACCGGGTCATGAGGGGGGAGGTATCAGACAGGGGACGGGGTCCTCGCATGAACCTGACCCCGACCACCTTGCTGCCTCCAGGGGCAGCCCCCTCCCAGCAGGGGGGAAGGACCCCACTGCAGAGCAGGGCTGACAGGGGACCAGGCTCCTCTGGGCTGCAGTGAGGAGGGTGGGCTCAGGGGAGGCCTGGGCACCTGGGAGCAGCAGGTCCCAGCTGGAGAGCACCTGGCCCCGGTGCAGAGCTGGCACAGGGCCCTGAGAACAGCTTCCAAGCAGAGCTGAGAGGCCAGGATGGTCCCTCATCAATCCCCCAGCCCCTTCCTGCCCCCAGGTCCAGGCCCAGGCCCAGGCCAGGTCACAGGAGCAGCAACAGCACGTACTCCAGATCCAGGTTCCCGGAGAAGTCAAATGTGCCTCTCTGTGGCTCGTGGAGGTTCCAGGGGACGTAGCTGTAACAGGAAAGAGTACAGGCATGGATGGCCTCTTCATTTATTCCACCTCATCCCCAGGTTCCCTCTTTATCCCTAAAACCCCTGTGATGCCCTAGCTCAGTGGTCGGCAAACCGCGGCTCGCAAGCCACACGCGGCTCTCTGGTCCCTTGAGTGTGGCTCTTCCACAAAATACCACGTGCGGGCGTGCACGTACAGTGTGATTGAAACTTCGTGGCCCATGCGCAGAAGTCGGTATTTTGTGGAAGAGCCACACTCAAGGGGCCAAAGAGCCGCATGTGGCTCAAGAGCCGCAGTTTGTCGACCACTGCCCTAGCTGGTTTGGCTCAGTGTACAGAGCATCGACCTGCGGACTGAAGGGTCCCGGGTTTGATTCCGGGCAAGGACACATGCCCAGGTTGCAGGCTCAACCCCCAGTAGGGGGTGTGCAGGAGGCAGCCAATCGATGATTCTCATCATTGATGTTTCTCTCTCTCCCTTCCTCTCTTAAATCAATAAAAATATACTTTTTTTAAACACTCCCTGATGGTGCGCTGTCTCAGTGGTGCCCTGTCTCAGTGACGTCAGGACTGGACCACGAACTAAGTGAAGAGACAGAAGGCCTTAGAGAACCCAGGGCCAACAAGATGTGAAGATGTGGGTGAAGCATAAGACAGGACCACAGGGCAGCGTGGGCTGCTCAGAGTAGGATCTGCCAGGGCTCACCCATCCTGGCACCCTGAATCCCCCCCAGCTGGGCTCCCACAGAGAAGCCCGGACACGGACTCCAGGAGCCCCTCGAGGGACGAGGCATGGGGGGGGTTGGGGGGGGGCAGGGCAGCACTCACGTGGTGAGGGTGTTCAAGCCACAGGCTTTCATCTTCAGCAAGCGGTCCCTCCAGTATGCCCTGGGCACCCGGAAATAGTGCACGGAGCCCCCGAAGATCCAGAAGGTGGAGTCCTCCAGCATGAAGTTCTGGCCCTTGGTGTGCAGCCCGGACTGCCGGTGTCTCAGCCAGGGCGAGAGCAGGCGGGGCCAGTGCAGCCTGCGGGGAGGAAAAGCGGTCGGGAAGCCTGGAGGCGCCCAGCGGCAGTGGCAGGGGCACCGGCAGAGATGGGCTTCCTCTCGGCTTCCGCTGGCTCACCTGGCCCGGCAGCAAGGCAAGAGCGAGCTGAGCTGCACTGAGGCCCGAGGCAAACACAACCCTGGACATGGAGACAGTGCAGAGCAGCGGTCGCCAACTGGTGGTCAGTGAGGTCCGAAAGGTTGGCGACTGCTGGTGCAGAGGACACGCGGGCACACAGCTGTGGGAAGGGAGTGCTAGTGGGCTGAGAGGCTGTCTTCAGGGTTGGAACTTGGGGGGATTTGGGAGGACCAGAGAGCAGGCCTCCTAAGCCATCTGACTAAACATCAAAGCAGCCACTACTTCAAATAGTACCTCTGAGCCACCTCCTGGCCACAGCTGCCCGGCTCGAGGTGCAAATACCTGTGAAGAGGCATCTGGGTTAGAAACGGCATCTATTCACGAACCAAATTTCCAGGTCTCGGTTATCATCTAAAGGTCAAGTGTCGTGCTGGCCAAGATCACCCGCCTGACAGACAGCCCCACCTGGGAGGCGACTGAGAAGTTTTAGTCCCTGAAAAGGCACCTCTTGACATCCCTGGGGTTGGCCACAGGGAGCCCCTAGTCTCCTGGGGGCTGCGAGAGAAGGCCGACAAGAGGAGCTGCGGCCAGAGTTTCCCGTGAGGAAGTTTAGGAAACGTGGAGACAGACAACAGCCGGGCGCGAATCTGGTGCAAAAGCAAATTTGCGTGGCTGCCTTTGCGGCACCCACTTCTCATGACAGTTCCTGGCACTTGAGGGCATCTTGCCCAGCAGGGCTCCTCTGCATAAAAAAGCGCCCTGAGCTGCTCTGGACTTTCCATTCGTTCCGTAACGCTAGCTAACGTGGTACCACCACGACATGTGTCCGGCTTAAGGCCCCGATTCCCCCATTCAATCAGCGCTGATATACACTGACTGGGGATTGTCGTCGGAGAAGAAACAGATGTGCGGGAACCCCAAGGGGGGTTCCCCACAAACTGCCTGCGGCTGGTCCGTGCTGAGATCGGTACAGACACGAACTCTGTTAGAGCAATGAGAGGAATTGTATATCTATTAAAGCGAATCCTCAGAAGCCAGGTATGCATATCTTTTCATTTCCCTTTTCTTGTAATTTTTTTTTATTGCGTCTCCTAAAGTAACGGATTGGAATTTTAAGGAGAAAAGGAAAATGATTCTTCCCCACAGACAGTGAGAAGTACTGCTCTAGGCCAGAAGCAATGGCCTGGGGTTTGCCCCTGGGTATTATCTGAATAGCTCATCCTTTTCATACATGACCTGCTCACAAAATCAACTTCGCAGGAAAAGCACATGTGTTCTTAAAAGGGGCAATCCCACTGTCTTGCTGGGTGTGGGGGTGCAGAAGCAGTGAGTATCACCCCCCCCCCATTAAAAATACCCCCGCCCTGTCTATCCCAGGAAAAGTCCTACACGAGGGGGCCTCTTTTGCAATATGGCCTTTACTATCCAGAGCTGTCAATCTAAGCCAGTGGTTCTCAACCTTCTGGCCCTTTAAATACAGTTCCTCATGTTGTGACCCAACCATAAAATTATTTTCGTTGCTCCTTCATCACTGGAATGTTGCTACTGTTATGAATCGTCATGTAAATATCTGATATGCAGGATGGTCTTAGGCGACCCCTGTGAAAGGGTCGTTAGACCGCCAAAGGGGTCGCGACCCACAGGTTGAGAACCGCTGATCTAAGCCAAAGCTACAGCTGAGTGGAGAGGAAGCAGCAGATATCCCCACACCAAAGGAACTCTGCTGAGTAACCGGGGAGCGGGGGAAGGGGGCTGGACTCCAGAGCCCTTTTCAGATACTAAATGTTCTACAAAGACCTCTCTAAGCTCCAGCATCTCCCGAATCTTCATCAGAGAGCACTCAAGACAATATTACAGAATTCTGAGTCACTTCAAAGACGAGGTGTTCATTTCACTTGCTACTTTTCCTTGACCTCAGATGGAGAGAGCTCTTTGGCCAACTTTCTGATACCCCTGCTGTCAAGGCTGTGGCTCTTTGCTCCAAAGCTCCTGCGTATCCCAAACCCGGTAACCACAAATAATACCCCAATAATGGCCATGCTCTGCTCCCTGGTCCCTTTCAGTCCCTGGTCCCTTTCAGACCCTGGCCAGCATGCACTGTGAGACTCCCAGAGCCAGGGTGGCTCAGACACCCCCCGCCCCCCTCCCTGACTGAGCCACGCTTCCCCACTTGTGTCAGAAAGGACCCCTGCCGAAAAGGACACTTCCCAGGTGCTGAAAAAAAAGTCATTCCGGTAAGATGAAAGGGACAGCATTCAAAGCGCTCAAACATGCCAGGGATGTGACTCAGGCCTCAAGCCCAGCAGAGTTCTACGAGCAAAGCTCATAAAATCACTGACCTCACAGAATCTCCGGAAGTGAGGCGCAATTTGTCCACTGTACCCTGGGAAGACAGGACTAGCCCGTGATTTGGATCAAAGCAAGCGACCTGGTCCCATTGTTGTTATCCACCTTCACGGAGGAGAAGTCGGACGGGTTCTGCCGCTGAAATCCAGAGCGAGCGAGGCAGCTCAGGGAAGCCGAGAACTTGCCCTTGAGGGGCGCCATGAGGGCTGCTTCCTGGCGGCTCTCCTCTCTCCTGACCTTCACCACCTGACGTCTCAGGTATGAGAGATGCAGAATGAATTCCATTACTGCTCAGGGGTGCATTTATATTAAGGAAAAAATCCTGAGTAGGAACCATGCCTTGATACTATCAAGCAGGCATTCTTGTGGCGTGCGAGGAGGAAAGGCTCAAAGACACGGGTCACATGACTACATGCATCACAGACCTCGAAGGAAAATGCCCAGTGGAGGAAGCCCAACCAAGTCAGAGCGCAGACTGCAGGATCACATTTCTATAAAATACTAAAAAGTTGTAACTGACAGATGGTGGTGGCAAGCAACAGATCGGTGTGCTTGGGGAGAGGGGAGCAGCGGCATTGGAGAGAGACGCAGAGGGGCACACGGAAATCTCTGGGGTTGATGGGTATCTTCACAATCTTCATGACGGTAGTAATTTCATAGGTGGGTACATATGTCAAAACTTACCAAACTGTACATGTTAAACGTGCAGTTTATCTCATGGCAATTACACGACAATAAAGGTAATTTTTTTAAATTGATTTCAGAGAGGAAGGGAGAGGGAGAGATAGAAACATCAACGATGAGAATCATTGATCGGCTGCCTCCTGCACGCCCCCTACTGGGAATCGAGCCCACAACCCGAGCATGTGCCCTTGAAATCTTCCTCAAAAATCATCTTGGACCTTGTTCTTGGATAAGGTGTAATCAAACAGCTCTGACCTCGCATGAACCCACCCAAGGTGAAATTCACGGAGAAAGGAAAAGCTGCAGCCATGCAGCCCCTCCTCCACCCAAATCCCTGCCTTCTGGGGTACAGAAAGGGGGTGGATCCTGACAGCTCAGCTCCCCAAAGCTTCCAGTGGAGTAACCAGGTCCCAGGTGACCTATATACCACTGGCCACCACCACGTTCCCAAGGACAGCTAGGAGAGCCCCCCACCCCACCCCACATACACACACACTCAGTTTATGACCCAGTCAAAGCCAGAGTTAAAGCAGGAAGAGGGTGTGACAATGAATATGTTCTCCTCTGGCCTCCAGAGACAATCCTTGGTGGCCACAAAGGTGATATACAACCAAAAAGATGCCCGAAAGACACATGTTCTAAAGGACCCTGAGAGCTGGCCCTGGAGTTTCTCTGGCCTCTATCTTGTCTGCTGAGAAAGAAGAGATGGCCCTAGCTGATTTGGCTCAGGCGATAGAGCATCAGCCTGCGGAATGAAGGTCCCGAGTTTGATTCCAGTCAAGGGCACATGCCTGGGTTGCAGGCTCGATCCCCAGTCGGGGACGTGCAGGAGGCAGCTGATCAATGATTCTCTCTCATCATTGATGTTTCTCTCTCTCCCCACTCTCTCTCCCTTCATCTCTGAAATCAATAAAAAAAAATATTTTTAAATAAATGCAAATAATAAATAGAACGAAGAGATGGCAGGAAAAACAGTGACTGTCCTAAGCACTTCGAACTATTTCCACCAATTTAGGTCACAGCTATTCATTCTCCATTGCTCTTCCCTGGCAACTCCAGAAGCCTTCCACTGACTCCTCCTGCGGTCACCAAATCCAGGTAGGAACACAGTTAATTCACCTGCGAGAAGCTGAGGCTTCTTCACAGCCACTCGGCTGTCTGACAGCTCATCTCCTGTCCCTCCAGACACCAACAAACACCCAGCCTCCTTCCCACACCTTTTCCTGTGGACTCAGGGTGTCCTTGCCTGGCCCATCTCAAGCCCCTGCGTGCTGGCCCTCAGAATGGCCTGTCTGGGTCTGTGCATGGCCTGCTATATCCTTGACCTCCAACAACGAGCAAACTACTTGCTACTTGAACGAACACCCCCGGCCTTTCTCTCTGGGGTCTGGGCTCTTTGATGTACCATATGCCAGAGGCTCCTGCTGCCTCTGCTTTGAGTAATTCTTCTGGGGTCTCCATCGGGCTTGTACTGGGAGGAGGGCTGAGCATCCTACCAGAGCCAGGACCAGTCATCTCCAAGGAGGAAAGGGTTAGATATCATCACAAGATGGGGGGGGGGGGGGAGGTCAGTCTTAAAAAACAACTGTGGAAACGCTTAAGTTTTCTGGGCCCCAGAATGAGCAGAGCACCATTTTCTTCCCCCATACGATAAAGGACATCCTCACCATCTGCCAAGCAAAGAAGACAGGTTACTCTTGAAAAGGTGTCAGTGGAAAGCGTTTCTAATTGGGATGCTGTGGCGGCCAAAAACGTTGATATTTAACTCCATCCAAAACTTCCCTCTACCTCCCTGGGAGGTTCAGCGAAACCAGGAAGGGTGATGGGGAAGAAGGAAAGATCAAGCTGCCCCAGTTCTAATGGCTCAACCTCCGGCCTCTCCAACACTCAGTTCAGTGCCCAGGCATTTGTTACGGGCGGGCGGCCTGCTCTCCCAGCAAGACCTGAAGTTTTGAATATGGAAAGTGCCAGGCATCGACCTGAAAGATGTGGTCAGGGCTGCAGCATCCTATATACAGACTCACATCGGAAAAACGCCGGGCAGGGGCACCCACACAGGCCGTGGATAAAGCATTCCATCACTAAACGCCATCACTGGCCACAGACAATGTGTAAGGGGAGCTGGCGGCTGGTGAGTGGTGGGAACGTGGAGAGAGAAGACAAACTAGTACCAATCCGGGAAAGGGGCAAATCAATCCAGGGCGGAGGAGCTCGGAGGGCCCCTGGGGCAGTGTTCTTGGACTGCGCTGGGCAGGCTAAGTCGGACATGGCTGTGGCCACTGGCGCTCTGGCCTCTGCTGAACAGATAAGCCTCCCAGCAGAACTGGTGGGGAATGTGGGGAGCTGGGAAAACAGCAGAAGGGGGTTCCCCAAGGCGGGGCAGTGATGAGGGACGTAGGAGAGGGGTCTGAAGGCTGGTCCTGCCGACCTTCCAGAGGGCTGGGAGTTCCCACGAGAAAAGTAGAACCCGCAACACGGACGCAGAGGAGTGGGGAGGCTCTAGGGCGCAGGCGCCTGGGGACTGGGAGGGCAGCGCCTAGTGGCCCCCAGAGGTCTGGGTCTCGAAGCAGAACCAGAGCTCTTGGCGGCGCACCGGGGCGCAGGGATATTGGGGAGCTGCAAAAGGAAAAGGCCCGCGGGCTGTTCCCGGTGGGAACTCGGGATTCGCGGGTCGAGGTAACGTGACCTGCAAGGTCTGCCTCCCTCCGGCCAGACGGGAGGTTAGACGGGAGAGAGAACGCGAGGTGTGGAGGGTTGGGGTGCCTGCAGACCGGCGGCGCCGGGCGGATTCCCTCACCTGCGGAGCACCAGGAAACCCAAGACCACCAGCAGCAGGAGTCCGAGCGCGCGGCAGGGCCTCCGCGGGGCACTCCACGTGGACATCGCGCGTTCGCGCCGCGCTCAGGGACCAGGTTCCCACTCCAGCCGGCACTCAACGGGCGCCCGGGCTCAGCGCGGGGGGCGGGGCCACTCGCTGGTCGCCTGGGCAACCGCGCCGCCGCCCAAGGCCACGCCCCCCGCCCGCGCGCCGTGGCGCTTGGAGTAGCAGGGGGCGTGGCCTCCGCCGGCTTGCGGAGGCGGGATTCCCAGCTCCGCGGGGGCCTCCCTGGCTCTGGCCTGCCTTCCGCGGGTCTCAGAGAGGCGCTCCAAGTTTCGGAAACTCTTTTACATGCACCTGATTTGCAAACACATGTAGAAATACTGAGCACGTGTTGTGCAGTCCTGTGCATGGTTGAACCCCGGGCCACCCCCCACCACCGCGCTGGCATGCATGGAAGGCTCCTCCTGCAAAGCCCACACAATCTTTTAAAACCATTTCCATTGTGGAGAGAGAAGAATGTGCAGCAGTGACTTATCATGTGAAAAGCCAGGACATTGTAGAATTTCCTCGGGACATTTTTTATGGCTTAGTGTGATTCACATTGGAATTTCATGGCGGAGAGGAGGTGCCTAGGGGGCAGCACGGAAATATTTCCTGCCTTTGGTTTCCACTAGTCCTTTTCTCCTCCTGACTGGCAGCACTCTTACATTTTTTATTAAAAACAAAACAAAAAACACTCCAAATAAACCCCTCACATTTTAGAAAAAGACGAATAAACTTCTCTTATTATTGTACAGAATTCTATCACAAAGGACATTGTGTAGTATTTAGGCAAAACTTAGGTTTTCTAACGATCACAAACTCAACTCATCTCAAGAACAAAATCCAAATATTACTGAAAAAGAATCGGAAACATTTTCTAGGGAGGCTGTGTGTTTCGGAGCATCAGGGTTTCTAGAAAATAGCCCCCACTGCACGTTTTAAAACCGCTTCCGCCCTGGCCAGCCAGTGAGGCTGGGTTGGTTGGAGCATCCACTTGTACCGAGAAAGGACCTAGGGTCCACTCTAGGTCAGGGCACATGCCTAGGTTGCGGGTTTGAGTTCCCTACCGGGGCAACCAATGGATGTTTCTCTCTCACACTGGTGTTTCTCTCTCTCTCTCTCTCTCTCTCTCTCTCTCTCCCTTTTCTGTAAAAATCAATGAAAATGTCCTTGGGTGACGGTTAAAAAAGAACAAAACAAAGCATTTCCTACACTTGTACATAGTTTTGAACTTGTAATGCTGATAGTAACAAAACTCGATTTTACTTCTCAGAACAATGACACAGAGTTTAGTGCAAAGGGTCCTTTTTCTAGCATTAAGCAAATATTTCATCAAGTAGCAAAATTTAAACCAGGGAGAGGCAAAAACAAACAAATGAAGGGGGGTGAGGAAGGGGGACATGCCACAATGAGCGAGGACAGGCTGGGGCTCTGCACAGGGTTCTCATAGCAGGGCCAGAGAGAGCATCTCAGAGGCAAGCCCGGGAAGCATTAGCGCTCTCTTAACACTCTCCAAGGCCATCGGTGCCTTTTCTCCATCTTTTAAGACACATAATTGCTTGATAGCTGTTAAGGCTATGATGACAATCTTTTGGTTCTAATTTGGATAAAAGCTCGCCCAGGAGACAGGAGAAAGTGTCAAAGGTTAGCCCCCCTTTTTACCTGAAATATATACAAGACAATTCAGGATTTAAAATGCTTTCTCCTGGTGACATGGCTGAGCAGTGGTACAATCTATGTGTCAATTGGACTGGAAGGGGCCTCTGTACATTGGGGAGGAATGTACTTGAATGCCATCGTTGGCCTTGATAGTCCAAAAATATCACTCTTAAGCCCCAACCTTTGAAAAGATGAAAAGCCAATGATCTAATCCAACAACATTTCATTCATTAAGAAGGAATTAATAAATGTTTAATGACCACTATATGCCAAACACTATTCTAGGTGCTCGGATACATCAGTGGGCAAAACAGACAAAGATCCCTTTGACACTTATATTCTAGCTGCAGAAGAAAGACAATAAAAAATTAACATACAGCCAGACCAGTTTGGCTCAGTGGATAGAGCGTCGGCCTGCGGACTAAAGGGTCCCAGGTTCGATTCTGGTCAAGGGCATGTACCTTGGTTGCGGGCACATCCCCAGTGGGAGGTATGCAGGAGGCAGCTGGTTGATGTTTCTCTCTCATTGGTGTTTCTAACTCTCTATCCCTCTCCCTTCCTCTCTGTAAAAAAATCAATAAAAATATATTTTAAAAAATTAACATACAAATGCATAAATTGTAGAGTATGTCCAAAGATGATAAATGCCATAGCAAAAAGAAAGTAGATAAAGAAAGGAACAGTGGGAGTCTGGTGGGAAGGGGCCTACACAGAGGAAGTCCTACTGAGCGGTGAATGGAAGAAAGACCTGGAAGGTGGGAGTTAGCCAGGCATGCTGGTATCCGGAGGGAGGACTCTTCAAGCAGAGAGAACCTCTAATGCAGAGGCACTCAGGCACTCATGACACTGTGTTCCAGGAACTGCAAGGAGGCCAGTGTGGGAAGAGAAGGGGCGGCAAGAACTGCTGGAGGTGAGGTGGGAGAAATACAGGGGCCTGGTCATGTGGGGCCTTTCAGAGCAGGGCTTTGACCTGAATGAAAGGCAGGGCCATTGCAGGCTTATGACACGACACCAACTGTGCTTTCAACCATCACTCAGGCTGCTGCAGTAATCCATGTGAGAGACGATGTCTCAGACAAGGGTGGTAGCAATGGAGGTGGATTTCTAGAACTATTTTGAAAGCAGAGACAAGAGGACCGTTGTGACGTTGGGATTGCTCGTGGGGTGAGAGAAAGAGAGAGGACTGAAGGATGATTCCCAATGTGGCGCCTGAGAAACGGAAAGAACGGGAGTTGCCATCACCTGAGATGAAGAAGACGCTGAGGAATGGGTGTGGAGGGAAATATCTGAAGCTCTGAGCGGGCTTGTTGAGTATGAGGTATCTTTGGGACTTTCAAGTAGAGAGAGCAAGCGAGCTGTTAAATATACAAGTCTGGGATGGAGATGTAAATGTAGGATTTGACAGAGAGTTGAGCCTGGATGAGATCACCAATGAAGTGCAAGAGAACCAAGTGAGCCCTGGGCACTCAATATTGAGAAAAGAGGAGGAACAGCGAATATGGGCTAGAAAGAGCAGCCAGTGAGGCAGGAAGAAAGCTCAGAAAGCGCTTTTAACGGGTATAGGGTTTCTTTTTGGAATGACAAAAACATTCTAGATTGATTGATTGATTGATTGAAATATATTTTTATTGATTTCGAAGAGGAAGGGAGAGGGAGAGAGAGAGAGATAGAAACATCAATGATGAGAATCATGGATCGGCTGCCTCCTGCACGCCCCACACTGGGAATTGAGCCCGCAACCCAGACATGTGCCCTGACCGGGAATCGGACCGTGACCTCCTGGTTCCTAGGCCAATGCACAACCACTGAGCCATGCTGGCCGGGCAAACATTCTGGATTTAGATGATGGTGATGATTACACAACCTGTGACTATGCTATACTAAAAACCACCGAATTGTACATTTTAAAGTGTGAATTTTATAATATAAATTATACCTTAATTTCAAAAACTTTTCTCAAGAGTAAAGCACTGCTATTTACCTTTTTCTATGTAGAGAAAAATACGTTTATTTTATATATTTTGAGGCTAAATTTTTAGGATCAGACAACTCTGGAATTATTACATTGTTCACATGAATCTTTTATCACTGTTAGTCACCTTCTATATCTAGTAACACCCTTTGTCATTCAGTGTGTTTAGAAGTGATGTAATCATTGCATCTGAAATATAATGCATTCTCATGATCTTCACGATGATTACTTCTGGTTTCCTCTATTTGTCTGTAGTTTATCCATAGATTTCCTGAGTTTGAGTCTAGAGCCCTGGAGAATGAAGTGTGATGTAGGAATTGTGTAGGTACATGACAGAATTCTCATCCAGTAAACCAGCCGTTCAGATTCTTGGAAGAGAAGATAATCTTACTCCTCTGTCCCCATCCCAAACAGCGAGGTTTCCTCCTCCCTTGGGACCCCAGATTATTTGCGACATTTCTTGCAGCTTGTAGGCACTGTCTCTAACAAGGTCATAACCTTTTGCTATAGGACATCGGTTTTAATTTAGGCCAAATGCTATATTTTGATTATAAGAATGTGGTTAGTTGTCATAGGGGTCACTTGTAAAAATTGGTTGGCTTGCCGAAACCGGTTTGGCTCAGTGGATAGAGCGTCGGCCTGCGGACTGAAAGGTTCCGGGTTCGATTCCGGTCAAGGGCATGTACCTGGGTTGCAGGCACATCCCCAGTGGGGGATGTGCAGGAGGCGACTGGTCGATGTTTCTCTCTCATCGATGTTTCTGACTCTCTGTCTCTCTCCCTTCCACTCTGTAAAAAATCAATAAAATATATTAAAAAAAAAATTGGTTGGCTTATTCATGCATATGCATCTCATCTCACTAATATCTGGGCACTACCAGCAAGAGCTGAGACTATACCCAGAGAGCTGAGGAGCAAGAAGACAGAGTGCTCAGGGCCAGGCTTCGCTGTCAGACAAGTCAGGACCAAACAACCAAATGTCTATTCCTCCTCTGATTGGAGGTGATGCACCAGGTCACCTTGGAAACACGCAGGCTGCTGGGAAGTTCCAGGAGACATTGTGCACTCTCCCCTGCATTCCCCCTCCTACAACGCACACGCACACACACACACCACATACCAGTACACACACACACACACGTACCACATACCAGTACACACACACACACACACACACACACACCACATACCAGTACACACACACACACACACACACACACACACACACACACACCAGGACTTTGCCAGCCAGCAATACTCTGGCATGGAGAGAGCAGTAATTCTTACTCTTTCTTAGGCCAGAGACCCTTCACTTCCTCTCAACTGAGTATGAAGAAGCAGAGATACATCCAGCTTGTTTTTATTTTATTCACATCTGCCTAAAGGCACATTTAATTAGAGAATAACCTGCTAAGGACTAAGCTTTAACTACGTAAATCTAGTCACTGAAGATTTGAATGCTTTTTAAGACCTAAAAATAGGCAGCATATGACTATACTACAATATATATAACAATTTCCCTATTGAATATTATTTCCAACATTTGTTATTGCAGACAACAGTGTGTTTGGTATTCTAGACATAAATCTTCCTCGTGAAAACCTGCTGGTAGACGAACTCCAACAATCCACCAAAAAAAAAAATGTCACAACACAGTCTTACAGCTTCGGTTTGTCTGTAGTTTGGATGGACGAACCACTCTTGCTTCTTTCAAACACAATGATCTGGGAAGAACAGAAAGGCTCACAGTGAGGAGTGGTGAGCCTGTTCAATACAGGATGAGAAAGATGCTGCGATCTGCATCCTGGGGATGAAGGCAGATCTGAAAATGTGTGAGACGTAAAGGCAGGGGTCGGGGTGACTCACCTCATTGTCTTCCGGATGCAGCCAGGCCCCAGGAAGGTAAAGTGTTTGCTGTGGTCCAATATTCCAGTATCGCCCAAGGTTACGGCCATTGATGAACACAAATCCATAACTCCAGTCCTGGGAGGGATGGAGGCTTGAGACAGGGGGACAGATTCACACGGGCAACGTACAACCTAAGGCTCTTGGGGAGTGAGAACAAGATGGAGATGCTTCGTGGCCCTGACAGTGAGTTCACAATGGGGTATGTTCTAGAACAAGCATGTCAAATTCAAGGCCCACAGGCCGCATGTGGCCCACAATGAATATTTTTGTGGCCCAGCCAATATAACGGTATGTAAGAAAGATTTTAATAAAAATTTCATAACTTAATTTTTACAATATCCTGTTATACATAATTATTAATAATGAACTACAATGTTCGCTAATGACTGATGATTATAACCGTGTTGCATTCATTTCCCTTATGTGCCTTACGCACAGGCACACCATTTCTCTCCACTAATACTAGCAGCGAAATGGCCACGTCATTAGTCTTGTACTAACTTGTTTGTGCAACAGGAAATATTTTGCTTTTGGAGAACAAGAAAAATAGGTTTATTTGCATTACACTTATTAATTTGTGCAGTTATTCAGTGTCTGGTAAGTTAATGTTCTAGAAAAAGTATTAATTTTTATTAAAATTTCCATTATTTTATGTTGGCGATGACTCATTTATCTCAGCCTTTTGTATTCTGCATGTCTCTATTGAAATAAACCTACGTTTCATTTCTATGAAGCTTTTGCTTTTTTGCAGCCCACATACACTTAAACCTTGTTTATTTGGCCCGTGTTAGCCTTTGAGTTTGACATGCTTGTTCTAGAAGGTCTACCCTGCTGTACCTGGTCTAAGGATGACGGAGGAAAGCATGAATAACCTTTCGATGCTAATGTGACTCTTGTTCCTGCCCTCTGATATATAATGCTATAGATTCTTTTAAAAGCAGGTCTTCCAGAAATAAGTCCTAGTTTAACAGAGATGGACACTTCTACTGACAACAGCTATAAACGCGACACCATTTTTTAATCTGGTTGCAATGCAATGAAGAATTACAGGACCAAAATCTGGGAGAAGAAAACTGAGAAACAAGAAGACATGGGAACAGTTTTTCCACTAGAGACAGGAAGAAGTGCTGGGAAGCTGAGCAGAACTAACATAGTCTAGCAAGCTTAGAGGAACCAACAGTGGATACCGGGGAACCTTATTAAATAATAGACAGTTTACATTCAATATTATTCTGTATTAGTTTCATGGATACCGCATAGTGGTTAGACGATCATATATTTGATAAAGTTTCCCCCCACCCCGATATTTTAAGTACCCACCTGGCCCCATACATAGTTATTACAATATTACCGAATGCATTCCCTAGGCCAGGGGTCCTCAAACTTTTTAAACAGGGGGCCAGTTCACTGTCCCTCAGACCGTTGGAGGGTCGGACTATAGTTTAAAAAATAACTAGTCGGCTGCTAAGCAACAGGCAGCGGTGGCAAAAACACCCTGCGGGCCGGATAAATGTTTTTGGCGGGCCGCATGTGGCCCGCGGCCGTAGTTTGAGGACCCCTGCCCTAGGCTATAATTCACATCTCTGTGACTGTTCCGTAACTACCAATTTCTACTTCCTAACCCCTTCACCTTTACCACCCAGTTCCCCAACCTCCCTCTCCATGGGCAATAGTTTGAACAACGATGATAAATTAGAAAGACTGAGCGATGCTGGGTGACTGGGTTGGAGGTGAGGAGGGAAGGGAAGTATTCTTGCCTGGAACACTATGGCTTTGCTTCAAGACTCTTTAAGAAAGAATATGTGTAACAGAAGAAAAACAAAAAAATAAATAAATAAAATTTAAAAAAGAAAGACTAGGCGGTTGAGAGAGCAGAGAGAAGAGGGCGCTCACTTACCAGCAGCCTCAGGAAGGTGTCCCTGGGAGAAGGGCCAGCCTGCAGGGTGCCCAGGTAGAAGGCAGGGCCCAGGGAGCTATTGGAGACAGGCCTCCAGGCGGCAGAGCGGAGCCTGGAAAAGGGGCCACGCCTTGAGGGAGAGGAAAGCCCTTTCCTGATTCTAGCCCCAATATGGACCCAGGTTTCCCACGCAGGGACTAGGGCTCCGTTTCTATGGGACATGCAGACGTGAGGCATTAAAATGAGAAACGGGAGACTTGTTCTAGGACTCCAGTCCGGACTCTAAAGACTCTATCATCCCGAGTAAATCACTTCTGTTCTCGGAATCCCGGGCTCTTCATCTGCCAAGTGAAGAGTTTGAAATCGCTGAGTGCCCTGACATTGCCAAGTCTCCCGGGAATAAGTGGGAACATACCTGTCAAAGAAGCTCGTTTTCATTTCCAGAGAATAGATAGTGAACCCCTCCAGGGGGGTGCTATTGATGGTCACGGGTCCGGTTACTCCTGCAGGGGGAGGGAGGAAAGACCACGGCTAGCCACTGATGCTATCTCTCGGTGTCTGGGACAAAGAAATGCAGGCAGCAGACATCTTGTGCCAGGCTTCAGCCAGGAGGGCAAACACTTGTCTGACTCGCTGCCACGGAAGGTTTCTCCTATGTTTTCATACACAAGGCCGACTGAGGAAGTCCCCCACTTAATATCAGAGCTTTTGCCCGGCCGGCATGGCTCAGGGGTTGAGCATCAACCTATGAACCAGGAGGTCACAGTTCGATTCCAGGTCAGGACACATGCCCAGGTTGCAGGCTCGTTCCCCAGTAGGGGGACGTGCAGGGTGCAACCGATCCATGATTCTCTCTCATCATTGATGTTTCTATCTCTCTCTCCCTCTCTGAAATCAATAAAAACGTATTTTTTATACAATCAGAGCTTTTCCTGAAATTCCCCAGATGGGCCTGGATCCTGCTCTAGGACAAGCCAGCACCCAACCAAGCCGCCCACTCCCTGCCCTGGAGAAACAAAGGAGGCAGGACAACAGAGAGGGGAGGAGTCCTCACCTTCGGTCCTGGATCCTAAGTCTCTCCCCCCCCCACTCCCAGCTCCAACTCAGCCCCCATCTGAGGGTCTGAGTGACCATGAAGAGAGGACAGCCTGTGTCTCAGGCCTAGAGCCCACCTTTCCGCTGGTCTTGAATTTTCCATGAATAGTTGACTCGTCCTTGGTTCTCCACCAGGATCCTCAGGAGCTGGCATCCCTGTTGGGGACAGACCAGTTCACGGAACCCACACAGCCACACAGGGGGATACTCTAGAACCCCTGTCCTCTGAGTCCCACATGGAAAGGCAAGCAAGTGGGAGACAGGACGCCCCCGAGCCTGGCCGTCCTCCCTCTCTCTAAGGACCCCGTGTGCTCCCATCCCACACCCAGCCTCTCCTCTCTCCCGCTGGTCTGCCTTAGGGAGGCCAGAGAGACGCAGTGTGCTTGATAGAGACCAGACCCGAGGCTGATGGTTGGCTCAGGGCTTAAAGGGGAAATTCCATTCACACCGAAGCTTGTATTCTGCAGCTCCTGGTGTATCCGGGCCTGGGAGAGGCGGTTATGCTCAGAGCTCTAGACAAACACTTCCTGCTGGGGCCCTAAGTGACAGCGATGCCAAAGGGCCGAGGTAGAGACGAGGCAGTCATCTCAGAACCAGGGAGCGGTTGCATTTGAGTCGGAGGTCCAGCCGCATCGAGACTCCTGCATTACCTACCTTGACTTTAGGGATGCGCAAGTTCTGATTACCACCATCCAGGGTCCCTATATGTGTCTCGTTCAAAAACACCTGCAAAACAAGAGCTGGGGTCAGACCGGCAGGCCTACCTGAGGGGAGGGCCGAGAGAGGCTCTGCTTAGGGAGGAGGTCATTGTAAAGAAGGCACCAGCCTCGGTGCTCACACTTGGCTGGGAGCTGGCAGCGAGGCCCCAGTGAACTTGGTTGTGATAAAGCAGAAAGCCAGTCTCTGGTGTGAGCTTATGTTCTCAGTGCCTCACACATAGTAGGTGCTTTAAATGACTACCGAACAGCCCTAGCCGGTGTGGCTCAGTGGATAAAGCGTCGACTTGTGGACTGAAGGGTCCCCAGGTTCCATTCCGGTCAAGGGCACTTAGCCAGTTGCGGGGCTTGATCCCCAGTAGGGGGTTTGCAGGAGGCAGCCGATCAATGGTTCTCTGTCATCACTGATGTTCCTCTCTCTCTCTCTCTCTCTCTCTCTCTCTCTCAAATCAGTAAAAATATTTTAAAATAAAAATAAATAAATTACTACCACACAGCACAGTTGACCAGCGATTAACCACCCTTCCCAGTAGCAGAGTTGGGCTACATGTCCTGCTTACCGCCGCAGACAGCCTGCTGGCCCCTACCTGTGCCGTGTCTCGAACCTTCGCATGGAGCCAGCCTCTGGCGCAGATGGGTGTCTCATAAAGTGCGAACCCGTAGGACTGACCGTTCCCAGCATTGATGGGGAGACTCTCCATGTTGACGGGGGCGCTGGATATGACCGGCTGTGAGAGAGCCGTGGTGGAAACACGAGCCGCGTGCTGAGAACCCTCTCCCCCTGAGACCCTTGTCTTTTTTGTTCTGCCTCCTAATGATCCCCAAAGTCCTTTGGATGAGAAACGCTAAAACATCTATGTGCTGATGCTTTATATCTCCACTGAGCAGGAGACTCAGGGCGGGGGCGGGGGGGGGGGCGGCATGGGACAGGGAGCAATGGCTGTCATCATCAACTGATGAACAGAGCAGATAAGTTGTGTACTACCATCACTGAAGTCGAGGAAAGAATTATGCACTAAATAAGCATGTATTTAGCCTCTACAATGTGTCAGGCACTTCTTTTTATCTAAAATGATGATAAGGGGAGATAAAATCAATCTGAATTCAAGACTTGACACGTTTCAAACAGTTTCCAAACTTTCCTTTAAAATAGGGCAGGTTGTCTACTTTTAAAGGGAGAGCAGGGACCTGTAGAACTTCCGAGGTTTGGCCTGGTGCCGTGGTCGGCAAACTGCGGCTCGCGAGCCACATGCGGCTCTTTGGCACCTTGAGTGTGGCTCTTCCTAAGCCTTAGGAGTACCCTAATTAAGTTAGTAACAATTTACCTACCTATATAGTTTAAGTTTAAAAAATCTGGCTCTCAAAAGAAATTTCAATCGTTGTACTGTTAATATTTGGCTCTGTTGACTAATGAGTTTGCCGACCACTGGCCTACTGGATGGCAAAAATGAATCAGAAACTCAGTTTCCCGGTTCCCAGCTCAGCAGCCTTTCCCACAGGGCCCACGTGGACCCACAAGGACATTCACCAAACGGGTTCATCGGAGCTGGGAAATAGGACCCTCTCATGCCCAGCCTCTCCCCACCCCACTCATTCTTCCAGTCCCAGCAGCCCCTTCACAGTCCACCAGGAAGGAGAGTGTGGTCTGACCCTATAGTTCTAAACTGGGACAGCATGCAGAGAATTCGTTTTCACACTGTCCAGGGAAAAGCCTTGAAAGAATCTCTCTGTGTGGCCGAAGGCCTTCTCCCCCTAATGCCCAGCAGTACTCACCTCGTCTAAGTGCTGTAGGGCATCCCACAGCGGCAAGTACAGGGATGGTCTCACAGAAGGGTACACAGCCTTTGGAATGAGCTCAGGTAAGGGGGGCAGGGGAGATGCTGCAATGAAAGTGGGCCATGGGCAAGACGTGCCTGGACCAGCTACTGCCCTCTCCCAGCCTCCCCATCCCTCTACGTAAACTCTCATATCCCAACCAGTAAAGGGGTCCTCTCCTGGCGCATGGCTACACTTCTCCAAGAGTGAGGAACAACTGTCAAGAACGAGGTTGCAACCCTCGCCGTTTGGTTCAGTGCATAGAGCATTGGCCTGCGGACTGAAGGGTCCCGGGATCGATTCCGGTCAAGGGCATGTACCTCGGTTGCAGGCTCCTCTAATGCAGGAGGCAACCAATCGATGTCTTTCTCTCACATCAATATTTCTCTCTGTCTTTCCCTCTCTCTTCCAGTCTCTCTAAAAATCAATGGAAAAATATCCTTGGGTGAGGGATTTGAAAAAGAAAGAAAGAAAGAATGAGGTTGCAGCCATTCTGTATGCATGGAGAGCTGACAGATACAGACCTTGAAGGGGTAGTGTTGGCCGTGTAGACTGAAGGCCCCTAGGGGGCAAGACCTCTGCCTTATACCTTTCGGCAAAGCCAGTGGTTACCTACTTTCTAGCACATAGTAGACGGTTAGTTAACTTTCCTTAAAGAAATAAAATTACATAGAATGATTTTTGCTATTGTCTATACGGGTATTATGTTATACATTATATTAAGAGCTTCACGAACAGTAATTTTCACAATCATTACAGAAGACGAGTATCATTGTGTTCACGTTTCAGGGAAGAAACCAAGGGTTAAAGGGCTTAAAAATGCTCATGCAAGACCACACAGCTTTTACGTGGGAAGACCAGGATTCGAACTTGTGACCCTTGCTCTGAAGCCCTTCATTAAGCTTGTGCCCACAGGGGAAATCCTGCCCTGTCCTTGCCCTTCCAATACACGAGGAGGGCCAGCCCTCGAGTAAAAATGGTGGCTGGGTACCTAAGACGGATCCAAGGAGTTTCCGAAGCTTGAAGTATTTTTTGGTGTAATCCCCGGCCTCTGTCAGCACAGCATCATAGTCTGCAAGACACCAGGGCACGTCACTGGCCAGGCAATCCTGCCAGGCCGACCCCGTTTTGGCGCTTCTGGCAGAGATGGGCAGGGCCACCAGAAGGAGACAGAAGACACATGGTCCCCACCCCTGGCCCGGTCCATCCCAGGCTAGGCCTTGTGGGACCAATGCCAATCTAGCTAGGAGTGTTTCCCATCGCCCTTCCTGGGACTCTGAGGCTGCCGGGCCACTGGGCTCATCCTCTGCTTCACTCTCTTCTTCCTTCCATCCGGATTGCCCAGCTGTGCCCATCGATGCCCTTCTAGCAATCACCACTTGTGTTCTCTCTCTCTCTCTCTCTCTCTCTCTCTCTCTCTCTCTCTCTCTCTCTCGGCTCAAGTCAAGGTGTCAATGTACATGAACTTTAGTCCTCAGCAGCCCCATCTACTGCAATGATAGCCTGTTGTGGGCATTATGAATATCACAGAAGAAAGATAAATAGATCAGAAAATTATCAATTCTCAGCATGGATTATAGGTCAAGAACTCAGGGATGCCAGAATATGTTTTCGGAGCTTCCAGCACCCCCACTGCTGGAAGGGGACCAAACCGGCGATCACTTGCCATAGCTGGTGACGACACTGCTGTGTTCCCCAAAATCCGTGGCCCCATTTATGAAACCGAAGTTGGTTCCCCCGTGGAACATATACGTGTTGAAGGAGATCTCAGCTTTGATAAATTCAGACACAGTTTTCACAACATCTGTGGAGGAGAAATATAAGAAAGTAGAGAAAATTAAAACCACGACTCTGAAAAGATAGATGCACCTCCTATGTTCATTGCAGCATTTTTACCACAGCCAAGATACGGAACCTAAGAATGTTCATCTGTAGACAACTGAAGAAAGAACAGGTAGTGCGTATATACCTGGAATATTACTCAGCCGTGAAAAAGAATGAAATCTTACCATTTGCAACAACACGGATGGACCTGGAGGGTATTATGCTCAGTGAAATCAGTCAGACAGAGAAAGACAAATACCATATGATTCTTACATATAGAATCTAAAGAGGAAAATAAATGGACAAACAAAACAGAAACAGACTCATAGAGCACAGACTGATGTTGCCAGATGGGAAGGGGGATGGGGGACTGGGTGAAAAGGTGAAGGGATTAAGAGGTATAAATGGGTAGTTACAAAGAAGTCCTGGGGCGGGGGTGGGGGGTAAGGTACAGCCTAGGTCAGTGATGGCGAACCTTTTGAGCTCAGCGTGTCAGCATTTTGAAAAACCCTAACTTAACTCTGGTGCCATGTCACATATAGAAATTTTTTGATATTTGCAACCATAGTAAAACAAAGATTTATATTTTTGATATTTATTTTATATATTTAAATGCCATTTAACAAAGAAAAATCAACCAAAAAAATGAGTTCGCGTGTCACCTCTGACACGTGTGTCATAGGTTCGCCATCACTGGCCTAGGGAATATAGTCAATGATGCTGTAATAACTACTGGTATGCATGGTGCCCGGTGGGTACTAGACTTACCAGGGGGAATCATGTTATAATCATGTCTAACCACTGTGCTGTACACCTGAAACTAATATACAATAATATCGCCTGTCAAAAAAAACAAACATTTAATATCGCTAATAAAGAAAATGGAGAGAAGACAGACATCGCTGATGAAATCTTATCATTCTCAATCCCATCCCACTATTAACTTCTTTTGTTCTTCAACCTTCGCTAAGATTCTAACCAGAAAATAGGTGGGATTTGCCAGAACTACTCTAGCAACCATGTCCTGTTTCCTCAAGCCTTTTTTAAAAGTTATTTTTCACAGACTATGGACATAATTGAACTCCTAACTATATATATTAGATAATAGCCTAAGAACCATTATGCCACTTATATATCTAACTAGAGGCCCGATGCACGAAATTTGTGCAAGGGGCACTCGGCCCTCACAGCCCCACCTTCCTCCAGAAGGTTGTCCGGAAGGACGTTTGATCTAATTAGCATATTATGCTTTTATTATTATAGATGTTCATTATGGTTGGCTCTTCACGGTTGGTATGACTTTGAATGGCCCGTTTTTCCTCTCAGGGCCTCTTCTTCCTTATTTGTTCAATGAAGGGCCTTATTTCCATGTACCACATCATAGGACTGGTGAGAGAATTAATCGCTGAGAGAATATATGTATAAGAAACAAGTCATAATGCCTGACATATAAGTGATCAGAAACATGTTGTCTGCTGGTGGGGGTGGGGGTGGGGCTTTATTTTTCAAGCCAACGCAGACTTTTCTCAGTTGCCTCTGAAGGAGGGAGTTGGTCCTCTCTCTCCGGGTACCAGCGAGCTTGTTTTCATAATAGTGATAGCAAAATACCTTTAGTAGCAAAATACTTGTATTAACTACGTTGGTCAGGCGCCGGTCTGAGTGGTGTATGTGGATTGACGAATTTATCCTCACAGCAGCCCCATGTGGTAAGTTACACGCTAATCCCCTTTGGGATGAGGACACACTCAGAAGG